ATGCTGTGGATTTTGATGTGCCTCAGAATAAACTGAATAATGAGAAGTCCTTAAAGAATGGGGTAGGGTAGTGAGGTCTCTGTTCCTGGGACAGAGAACTGAATTGAAAGATTTGTTACAGTGCTACAAGGACATATGCAGACATAGAATGGAGAGGACTAATACCATAGTGCATGAGGTTGACATAGGGAATGCTGTTCCAATAAAACAACATCCCTACTGGCCTAATCCTCTCAAAGCAGCACAGGTACAGAAGGAAGTAGAAGTAATGTTCCATGAATACGTCATAGAGCCGAGTCAAAGTGAGTGGAATTCGCTGAACGTGTTGGTTCCAAACCTGATGATACTCAACGATTCAACGTAGATTATCAGAAGGTTGTGGCAGGATTGACCAGACAGATGGCTTAGTGATCTTTAGCCATTCATGGAAAGATCACATGCAGCATTTTTCAAAGCTCTTTGAGAGACTACAGATTGCAAAGTTGGTCATAAACTTGGGAAAAACAGAATTCTCGAAGGCGGAAGTGACGTTTTTAGGGCACAACATTGGACACAGAAGGATGACGTCCAGAAGCATGAAGATGAACGCCAAAGAATTTCCTAGACAATCCTTGAAGAAGGAAGTATTATGATTTTTAGGCTTGAGCGGATGCTACAGGAAATTTGCACCAAACATTAGTAGCATGGTGGCACCATTGATGGACTGGTTAAAAAAAACACGAAATTTCAGTGGACAGAACAAAGCCAAGGGGGATTTGAGAATTTAAAAGCGGTGTTAACAACCACATCAGTTTTAACTATGCCAAATTTCTTGAAACCCTTCAAAATCACCATCAACGCAAGTGATGTAAGTGTTGCAGCTGTTAGTTACAGGAGGATGATTGGGGAATTGAAAGGCCCATCGGTTATTTTTCAAAAAAAAACTCAATATCCACCAGAAAAAACATTCAACCATTGAAAAAGAGTTCTTGAGTTTGGTAATGGCCTTACAACATTTTAATTATATGTTGCAAACAACGCAGAGACGGTTGTGTATACAGAGCACAATCTTTTGACATTTCTGGAAAGATTGAAGGATAAGAACACCAGATTATTTTGTTGGAGTCCCATGTTACAAGCATTTAATTTAGAGACTGTACATGTTGCAGGTCGTGAACATGTTATTGCTCATGCTTTATCATAAGTTTAATAGAAAAATGTTTCTGTAAGGTAGAAATGGTGGTGTTCAACATTTATATGTATAGAATTAATATGAAATGTGTAATGACATATGGATCTAGTAATATGTGGGAGTTAAGGTTTCAATAAAAAAGCCATCTTTTCATAACAATGGTTCATTTTCTTTTCTTAAGAGGGGAGGTGTTGCCAAGTTGGGCAGAGTACTTGTGGATTGGAAGGCAGAATGTTACATTTTGGTGTCTGTAAAATATTGGTATTTGGAAAATTCAGTGGGGAAACTAGTGTGCGGTCCCTTTAAAAGATGATGTGATTTTTCTATGCTTAGAGATTCAAAAAGGATGCCTGTGGGCAATAGTCTGTGGGGTTGCAGGTACGCAGAGCACCCAAACTGAAACATTTGCATCAAAAGGCTGTACAGTCAGCAGGCCAAGCAGCAGTTTTGTTATCAAGACAACAAGTTTTGAATTTAGCCAATTAATTTGAACCAGACACCCAGATACCAAAAAAAATTAAATTTAAATTTGGTGGTTTTGACAACATAGGACCAATCCTATTATAAGGAATATTGATATGTCAAAGGTATAAAAGAAGGGGCAGTTGGGCAAAGACAGGAGAGCAAATTGCCATCCACAAGATTTAACAGTTCTCAAGTGAGATTCGCTAACTCTCACTATCTTCTCTAAGTTTTAGAGAAAGTACCATCTAAATCAAAGGTACCTACGGCACAACTAGCTAATATTCCTGACAGAAGAATTTGATGGAGAAGGTGCTCCTGACAGAACATTTGACGGAGAAGGCACAGATCATTCCCGAAGACACGTAACCTGGCTATAATTTCGACAGACTAAATTCTATTTTAATTTTATTTTTATATAAGTGGGACTTATCTTTATTGGAACAACACACCATTAGAATCTTGTTTTATTCTGGAATAGTTAGTAGTTAGAGGGGAATTGTTCAGTTTGTTAATAGTTTAGTCAATTTGTGAAGTGAACGTTAGGGATTTCTTTTACTTAACCACGAAGTTGCTGAAAAAAATAAACCGATTACACCACTTCTCATACACCTTTTATCAGATTATAGGGCGAGGCCTTTCCCCTCCAGGTGATTCAGTGTTTGTTCTCGGGGGGTGTCAACCTCCCCTAATAACACCACCATTGCTACTAATTTCTAACTGACCCTTCCCTAAGTCTTCATTGCTTTCATCCCTCTCTACCACTTCCACAATCACAATAAATAACCATACCAACAACCCATACAAAGTAATCACAACAATACACATTTTGTCAATTACATCCAGAAGCACCACCGATTCCCTCACCTCCAAGATTCTGTGACACAGGTTAGTCAGTCTAGTGATATCACACACCCCACTCTAACCTAAAAACACTGCCATATCTCTGCCAATTGAGGGGTCTAGTCGATTCTGCAACAGTCAATTAATACTCCCAGTCCAGCACTCAAATACAATGACTACTTCTCTCTTGACGATCTCTTCTTCCAGATTCACTCACTGTTCCACATCCAATGACACCAATCTCAAGCCCCAAGACTTTTCATCCAGGCCTTTCCACAACAAGACAACACAATTTTTACCACCTGCTTCCTTGAATCTCTTCCTCTGTATACTGAGCATCAAAGAAGCAAGATAAAATTACTATAACTTCAAATAACAAGCAAGGCCATTAGTTTAATTTTCATAAAAATTATTGAATAAAAATCCAATAATCACCATAAACAATTAAAACAGTAATTAGATTTTTGCAATCATGCCCACAGCCTTGATTATATAGCTAAAATCCAGCATGCAAGCTCTTTATAAAACATTTTCACTGGTATCGCTGCCCAAAATATCATTCTGTACAATGGATTAAGTCAATAAATTGAAACTGAGGCAAACTCAATTCAGTGTCTGCTGTACAGTCAAATTGTAAACCATAGTCGGTTTAAACTAAGATTAGAAGCATATAGTGAATTTTGGGTTCTTTGTATGATTGTGTTAATTTGTATGAAAGTGTTATACCTCCATACACTTTACATATATATTAAAATTGAATTAAAAAAAACACTACAACCATATCATAGTCAATGTACCTATTATTTTCCCTTTAAAGAGGGCTCCATCTTCCTGTTACTGCAGAAAAGTGATACCAACAGCAGGATTGACATGGTCCCATCATTTATTTGGTATGGCAATAAGGTAGTAACGAAAAGAAGACAGTGCCAGATGGAAACAAAAACAATAAAACTAGCAAGTGGTGGCCTGACATACTTGTGTACTTCCAAATGGGACTCCAATAAATTCAATTCCAGGTATTATTGTTCTTTTTAAACGGTATGTTCCCTCAGCCAGTGTCAATTTTTTTATTCAATAAAAGGATGCAGACATCACCAGCTGGAGCAGCACTTATTGTCATCCCTGGTTGATGTTGACAAGCAAGTTACCTTCCCGAACCACTCCAGTCCATTTGGTACGCCAACAGTGCTGTTTGGGAAGGAATTTGACTCAGAAGAAATAGAAACATATTTCCAATTTTGGGTGGCAAGTAGCTCAGAGGGAAACATACAGGTGGTAGTGTTCCTATGTAGCTGCTGTCCTTCTCCTTCTAGATGGAAGTGGTCATAGGTGTGGAATGTACACTCTAAAGAAGTGTTATCTGCAGTGCATCTTGTACGCAGTACTGCTTGCTACTGAATGACAACGACGAGGGGAGTGGATGCGATGCCATTCAAACAGGGGATTTTGTCCTGGATGGTGTCCAGCGTCTCAAATGTTGTTGGAGCTATACCCATCTGAGCACGTGGGGAGTATTCATCACACTGTATCCACAAGCGTCCACTCCCTCCACGATCGATGTTCAGTAGCAGCAATGTGTACTATCTACAAGATGCACTGCAGAAGTTCACCAAAGATCCTCAGACAGCACCTTCCAAACCCACAACCACTTCTGCCTAGGACGACAAGGGCAGCAGACATGTACAAGCCACACTCCATCCTGACTTGGAAATAAAATCACCATTCCTTCACGGTTGCTGGGTCAAAATCCTGGAATTCCCTCCCTAATGGCATTGTGGGCCACCTGACAGAGCTGCAGTGGTTCAAGAAGGGAACTCATCGCCACCTTCTCAAGGGCAACTAGGGCATGCAATAAATGCTGGTCAGCCAGCGACGCTCACATCCCACAAAACCAATTTTTTTTTTAGAAAATCTCTTTTCTTGTGGACGGTGGACAGTATTTGGGGCCTACGGTGAGGATTGATGTCAACACATCTTTCATTGACATACACGTCAATGTTAACACATCTCTCCTTCTCGTTCTCGTTCTTGTTCTTCCCCCTACCCCCCATACTTATTAGTTCTTCCTCTTCAGACGGTGCTCACCCATCACTGTCTTTACTGGAGTAGCTCCGCCTGCTCCATAACCAGGCGGCAGCCGGTACTCGGCAGCCGCGCCACTTTGCAGCCTCCCGGAGAAAAACCGCCAACATCCGGCCCCTCGCGCTCGCGCTGCAGTCAGGCCACTGGAACCCTACCACCCCATTGGCCAGTGCACGAAACAACCACCCCGCAACCCTTCACGGCTTCTCCGTCTCCCATTGGTCGGTTAGGCTTGTCCCGTCGATCAGCCGGGCCGTGTTCATTGGCTCCGAAACAAAGAGTCCATCCTTTGATTGGCCGTGACTTTCCAGGGGCTCGGTGTTTGGCTGGAGGTGCGGCCCCGGCCGTGATACGTTGGAGCGGCGTCTGATTAACAGGGGTTCTCGCACCCTCATTGGTGCGTAGTGAGCGGAGCACTGTCATTTGACTGGCTGGGCTGGAATGAGGCGCCGCCTCCTGAGGGTGGTGCTTTGGTTGCGAGTAGATAGCTATCGTGCCGTTGGATGGGTTTTTTAAAAATGTTTTTGATGTTCGATATCAATTTCGATAATTGGACAATTTCCACCTCTTCTCACCTGTCGCTCTCTCTTTTGATAGTAGAATGAAATGTTTTATTAAACAGTAGAAAATGCTGGAAACACGCAGCTGCTCCTGAAGCTTCCAGGTAATGGACCCTTCTTCATCGGAATCAACATTAAGCGAAGCCATTGCATTTGGATTGTGGTCAGGATAAAATAATAAGCTAGGATGTGTGAGTGCCACAGCTTCATTAATGTTAGAAGATGTTGCCTATGATGTGGTGTGCAACACCCTAGCTTACAGGGTGAATATCAAATAAGGCTTCCACGGGGAGTGCTGCACCGCGAAACATGCATTCCTTCAACCTACCCTTGTGGATGCAAAAGGATCCCAAAGCCCTACTTTGAAGGAAAAAACATGTGGGAATTCTCTGACAAATACTTATCCCTCAACCAACATCACTTAAAAGCAAAATATTTTGGATGTTGGATAGTTGAAATAAAATCAGAAAGTGTTGGACAAACTCACCTGGCTTGACAGCATCTGTGGAGACAAAGCTAGTGTTTTGAGTCCAGTATTTTCTTCAGGAATTCCCTTAAAAGAGCATTATCTTATTGATGTCCGCAGAAGCATTCTGCATATAGATATGTATGTGCATTCTACCTTACAAAGGTGACTACTTCAACAGTTCTCACTGGTAGCAAAGTGCTTTGGGACATCCTGAAAAGTGATATAAATGCATGTTTGCTGAGTTCTGAGGATGGTCATTTGACCTGAGATGTTAATTCTGATTTCTCTCTGTAGATGCCACCAGACCTGCTGAGCATTTCCAGCAATTTCTATTTTTGTTTCAAGTTTGCTTTTTTTTTTAAATTGCCTACTAAACATCTCAATAGGAGTGGCATCATCAGAAATTCTCGTAGCTCATGATGGATGGATAATAAATGTGCTGCTGGAATTCAAAACAACACATATATGTATATTCTATGAATGTTGGATTGTAGTATATTTTACCAATGATAAATCTTTTTTTAAGGCTTCTGTAATAACTTCATTGCCATATTTAATTTTGACTCTCTGATTTTAGGATCCTAATCAAGAAGTAAATACATTTATTAATTGAATGAAATAAAATTTATCTCTTTTAGGGTACACTTCACAATGGCAAACAAGACATTTATTATATCTGCTCCTGGGAAGTTGATATTGCATGGAGAACATGCTGTGGTGCATGGAAAGGTAAACTGGCATATAACTGAAAGAAAAACAAGCATTATATTTTGTAAATGAAAGACAGAGTCTCAGGTTTGATTTGGGTTAGTTTGATTTCAATCAATTCAGCACATCAAGAAGTACAGATGGTGCAAAAAAAAAATGCACCGGCAGTTATATATAGCAAAAGAATCTGTCTGAACTTGTCCATGAAATTGCTGATTTATAAAGAGAATAAGCAGTTGACACTATCCTCAATTAGATGGCTTGAATTTTCACATTCACATTGTATAGATCACCAAGCTAAAGATTACATCTTATTACAAAAGCAACTGGTTACTTCTTGCATAATTCCAGTACTCTGGCTTCAGCTGCTCTTCTTGATAGACCTATCTAGCAGTTAATCACTGCATAAGGAAGGACTTCCCGGCACCTGGCCAAGAGATACCCATCACATTTCTGTACCATGTCTGAAACAGGTCTTTTTTGTAGTAATTCTGGGGATTAACCTAGATTGTGTAGCATATGGTGAGTAGGAGATTGCAGGACCTATGTCCTTTCCCAAAGCCATCTACGTGAGGTGAGCCTGAAATGCAGGACTTCTTGCCTTGATATTTGTGAGTAGAGGCCTGATGTTGTGTCTGGGCTGAATTTAGTTATAAACACTCTGTAAAGTCTTCTTTGTAATGTTACCCTCTGACAGCAAGGATCATTCTCATTGCTCATATTTGCATTGACCCAGTGTCCTGAAAAATTGTCATTGTTGGGTGGTGGCCACATGCTCTGTGCAGGATTCCACATATGAGTTAGAGATTTTAATTTGATGATATAACCCAATTTACATTGCTTATCACATCTAGAGATGCCAATAAACAAGGAGGCAACTCACACTTTAAGATCCATTTCACCACACTCTTTGTGAAGTTCTGTCCCATGAGAGATTGTATATGCCACCAGTTCAAAGATGGCTCCTCAGTTGAGTTTACCAGTGTGATGCTATCTCTGCTGTGTCCTTCCTGAGACTGTGATTCCTTCTTATTTTGTATCTGAACAAATTAGAGGTCTCACAACACAAATCTTTAGGATGCACTACAGTTTGTTTTCTTGCACACATGTCATTTCAACCCAGCTAGGCTTTGGTTCTTCCATGCAACTAATTGCTAGTCTATGTCTGTGCCCAACTTTTGATAACTGATTTTAGTTTATAAAGGAGGGTTGTGAGGTATTTTGTGAAAGCCAGGGGCCATGTATAGCTCACACAATAGGTTGATTTTAAAAAAAACCTGCTGGAAAAGCTCAGTGGGCCAGGCAGCATCTATGAAGTCAGAAACAGATATAATGCTGAAGACCACAGGGACACCCTACTTTGTTTTCTTCCACTCATACTATTGTAACCTTGCTTCCCTTGTGACTAATTTTCAGTTTGAACGTTCATTTGATTTATTTGTTGATTTAATTCAGTTGGCATAAAATGTCATAGAGTCAGGTGAAATGGTAATTCTTCAACCGTAGCAAATCACTCGTTCAATTTGTAGTCACTCCCCTATATTCAGTTTTTATTAATGAACTACAGTGTTTTATTTTCCTTTTTTTTGTTCCTTTGGCAAAATAGGTGTTAAGGCAAATGGCAATCAGCATCTTAAAAACTAAATGCTTTTATTTGGCATCATTATTGTAGCAGACAGAAATCATTTTATTTTCTTCTGCAGTTGGAACACTTAGAAATGTATTATTTTTGAAACTCTCAGCTACTAATGCTAAATATTTTTGTATTTGTAGGTGGCTCTGGCAGTCAGCATAAACTTGAAAACATATCTCCGGCTGCAACCTTGTCCTGATCAAAAAGTGCAATTAAACTTACCAAATATTAATGTCCATCTCAGTTGGAAACCTGCTGCCCTGCAGTTTCTGCAGTCAGCAATTGATGGTAAGATGCACACAAATGAACAAAATTATAATTAATAAAGAACATTGTACCTGCAAGTTCTTTTAGAGACATTAATTCATAAGACTATTAGCATAGAAGATGGTGCAGCCAATAGAAGCACCATGTTGGGACACAGATTCTTGCACCAGTGGGATCTGGATCTAAGACAAGCTGCTGTTTGGAGGTGGATAAGTAGATACGTGATTATTGTATGCAGGAAATATTCCAGAAGATATTCTTACTTTCTGATGGTCAGATCAAAGTAACACTCGCAGTAAGTTGGGTACAGGAAACTGGGAATAAAAAGTGAGGAAATATTGGGAGACAAATTTCGCAACATTCAAACATGATTTAAACCTAATATTCTGGAACATGGATTTGTGTTAATCCACGTGACATTGTTGTTTTGCATGGTTCATGAGAAATCACAAATGTACTGTTTGGGGCATGGATGGAGGAATTGCTGAAAGATGCCTATTTCTGCCTGAATGTGATTAAAAGACAAAGGGGCATTTTTTAAAAACCAAAAGAACTGCAGATACTGTAAATCAGGAACAGAAACAGAAGTTGCTGGAAAAGCTGAGCAGGTCCGGCAGCTTCTGTGAAGAGAAATCAGAGTTAATGTTTCGGGTCCGGTGCCCGTTCCTCGGAACTGGGCATTTATGTCTGTTTCTCACAGGAATAAATTGAGTAGAAGTAGGCTATTCAGTTTTTTGAGCCTGGTCTTCCAATTAATAAGATCATAGCTGAACTGGTTTTCATTTCGACTTTCTTGTCAATCTAAAATCTATCTAACTCCACTTTGAATAAAATTAATGACCTGGCCTCCATTGTTTTCTGAAGAAGAGAATTCCACAAAATAATGACATTCTGAAAGAAAAGTAGCTGTGCTCATCTTCTTAAAAGGGAGACATGTTACTTACTGAGATCACTGTAGCACCAACATCTGCCATCTCTCTCCATTTGAACAGTAGACTGATTTTTCTATTGTTCCTGCCAAAGTGAACAAGTTCACATTTACCCACATGCCCCATCTGCCTAATTTTAGCTCACATACTTGACCTTTCTATTTTCAATTGCATACTCTCTTCCCGTTGACAACTTACTTTTCTATCTATCTTGGCGTTATCAGCAAATTTAACCATTACATTCAGTCCCTTCATCCAAGTTATTGAATATAGATTGTAAATATTGTTTTGAATGATAACTAATTTCCAATACAGTTCAAGCTTGTAGCGTATAGAATATAAGTCCTTACAATTCTCATTTTGGCTTGGAGTCTGTAGTCATGCAACAGAAAGGCTCTCAGTCAACTTGCGCAGTTCAGGATCACTCTGTTAGGTAGGTAGATAACAAAAACAAAACAGGGAGCAGTAACAGGAGGAAGATCTCGGACTGATTGAGCTTGGTTACACTGAGTACCTTGAAGTAACTTTAATTGGCCTCTGTTAAGGCAGATGTCTGATTAATTCAAGCTACTGTGTGCAGGTTCTTCCATAATACTGTATTCTAGCTGATGATGATGACTTGGAGAACAGTTTTTCAAAGGCAGTTATGGAGGACAGATATGAAATCGAATGTTCATATATCCAAGCCTAGGTGATGACAGAGATAGGCTTGTGACGAACAGTTATTCAGCCAGTGTCCTGTGGTTAGGAAGAAGATGACAGCAAACTATCTCTAATCTGATTGGCCTTTTGATCTACTCTATTTCATATAATACTGTAACCAGCATCTTTCTTTGGATAGCATACCCTAATTGAGTGTGCAATTTGGTCGGGCTCCAGTAATACCCATATAGACCCCTGTGGTCCCTACATCATGGCTCTGCCAATCTCCAAGTTCTTGGGACATGTGTATTTATGGGCAAATGTGAGTAGGATCTAGTGGGAGGGAGAGCACGTTTTGCATGCACAGATTTGTTCATTGTTAGGTTTGAAGACTCCAGCTTGACACCCCTTCTGCATGACCTTGATATCCAGGTGTTATTTTGTTATAAATTCCAAAATAAAACTCCTCCAAGAACAAATATTCACAGAAAAAGTGCTTGAGGGATATTCTCCTCCAGTTACCAATTCAAGGGGATAATTTTGCTGCTGGTATATTTATAAAATCTAACATGTACTGATTTTTTTTCATGTAAGTTCCTGATAAGAACAATATGTACCTGCTGGAAGTGGTTTAAAGTAGCCTGACATACAAAGTATTTGGTTACTTGTTGTCTGGATTACAAAGGGATTGGGGAAATTTTTCTATATTGAAAGTGCTATGCCATTGCAAATTGTTGCCACATTTTACTAATTCATTCAATTATGTTGTAAATGGAGATCTTGTATTTAACTAGTTGTATATATGCTGCCAATGTAAGAAATCCAGTTATGAAAAAGTGATTATTTGAAACATTATAGCTTATATTTCTGGATTTAACTTTCCTATTGTTAGTGTTAAACTACATTTGACAATTAACCAACACAATTCTTGATTAATCAAAGAACGAACCATTTGCAATGTGTTGATTATGGGTTGTTTGTTTAAATACAAGTGGCATAGGTGCAAAATAGTTCTGACTTCCATTGACCCCACTACTGATGCCTATTGTTCACTTTTCTTTAGTGACTGATGTGCTAACCCCAAAGCCTCCAAACCAGGAACAAGTGGATCATTTGAGACAGTTTGCAGGAATTTCAGAAGGCTCAACAGATGCAAAAAGCCTTAGTATCCTCTGTTTCCTTTATCTTTATGGGGCTATCTGCACCAGAGATGGGTATTAATTTTTTCTATACACTAAGTTTACTGCAGCATGAATGATACAATTCAACTTGGTGCAAATTTGATGGAAGGTGTCAGACTGGTGTCACAATTGCAAGAACTTATGGCGTTTTTAGATTACACCTCTGATAGGTGCTGCATAATTTACTTAGTTGCTTGGTATTACAGAACTTAAGCATTACTAAAGGGAGGCATGAGGTCAATGCTTTGTGTCTTGCATTCATCAAGACTAGGACACAAGAAACTAGACTTGGAAAATATATTTGCATTGGGTTTGAGTTTAGATGGATATAAGTGTAATCTAAAGATAAGATGGATGAGAACATAGATCAATGTCATAGAGGTAAAAATAACGAGCACTCAATATGGAAAAGATTATTGAAGTAATAACAAAATAATACGAACATAAGCAAAATTAAAGTTTATTAGGAATAACTGAAACATGGGTTCAGAGATTGAGATATATAAATATTATGGAGAGTAATATGTTCAGAAATACGAAAAGAAAGAGAGTGGGAGATAAGACAGTTGTGTTCTTAAAAAAACAACAAATACAGTGGCAAGAATTACATAAGTAACAAAGGGATCCATACAGAGCTGATACAGTGTTGCTTTCCAGGAGTATGATAACAAAGAGACGTGGGGGCCAATTAAGTATTTGTGTGGAAAGATGGATAAGGTGAATAGTCAAAGTTTTTTTTTCCTCCCAGGGTAGGGGGTTCCAAAACTAGACAGCATAGGTTTAAGGTGAGAGGGGAAAGATTTAAAAGGGACCTAAGGGGCAACTTTTTCATGCAAAGGGCGATGCATATATGGAATGAACTGCCAGAGGAGGGGGTGGAGGCTGGTGCAATTACAACATTTAAAAGGCATCTGGATGGGTATATGAATAGGAAAGGTTTTGGGGGAAATAGGCCAAATACTGGCAGATTGGACTAAATTAATTTAGGATATCTGTTTGGCATGGACAAGTTGGACTGAAGGGTCTGTTTCCGTCCTGTACATCTCTATAATTCTAAATGAGGAAAATTAGAAATATAATGTGAAAATATGCACCTTGCAGCAATCAAAATGCTGAAATGATATTGTGCTATTCTTGTTTTTTCAAATGATAGGCAGATGCCAAACGTGGACATTCTGATTTGGTCTGAGCTTCCAATAGGAGCTGGCTTGGGATCTAGTGCTGCATATTGTGTGTGTCTGGCAGCAGCCCTCTTATCAGCCAGTGGGGCCATTACCTGTCCAGATCCACAGGAGTACAACAGTACCAGGCAAGCAAAGATATCTCTGCGGTTCTATAACCTGCCCTATCATTAGACATTCAAATTATCCAGTCAAATGGAGGGTGGGGGTGGGGAACTGTAAATCTGAAATTATTAATCTCGAGCAAAATTTTGACTGTTGGTTGAGCTGTTACTGTAGTGAGTTGGGATGGGTATGTTTACTGGTGGGATTCACTAGGGTGCAATTTAGTAAGTGGTATCTGTGGCATGGGTGGTTGGTTTGCAATACAGAGTAATGCCAACAGTGTGGGTTTGATTCCCCCACCAGCTTATGATGAAGGACTCACTTTCCTAACCTCCCCTCCTTACCTGAGCAGTGGTGATTGTCAGGTTAAACCATCACTAGTCATCTCTCTCTCTAATGAGAAAGCAGCCTAATGGTCTGGTAAGACTGTGTAGTGACTTCATCTGTAACGCGTTCATCTGATTCTGTAAGGTTAGAAACATTAAATTAAATAACTGAATTTTTATTTGTGACTCTTAATTATAAATTCTGGAGCAAATTGTTCAACCAAACTGACTGCTGTCAGGTGCCAAGCATGTGACATTGAGAGTAGTTAAACAGTTTTTTTTGTCAAGGATGAGAAAATGATTTATTTATAGCTATAAAACAATACTGTGCCTGTTGCCGTATCTTGAAGCATTGCGCTCAGCCAAGCTTGGATGATGCAGATCCTGCCTCTTTCTGTCCTATACACTGGCTGATTTGCCGCAAATGCACTTGTGTCATTTTGACAGAAACAGACTATTCAGTCTGTCATTTATGTGCCGACAGAATACCTCGTTCCCTGACCGATTAGGCCATGGCGAGGAAAGTGCAGATTCCTAGCCTGCCAATGATCTGGAAGCTTTAATTAAAGAAAATTAATCTTTTTGCAGTAAATGTTCCTTTGCCTAGGAGGAGCTAGTTAATGTAATGGGTACAAATTGGAGCAGATGTCAAAAAATTAGATTTCAGCAAAATTAGGAGAATTTAAAATGTGATAAATTGTACTGTGGTGCAGAAGATAATACCATTATACATATTTATAATGAAAATACATGGAGGAAAAAGGAGCAGATGTAATGAAGAATTGCCATTAAACATCGTAAAACCGGTAGTAGTTCAGTAGAAATATTATTCTTCCTGCAAACCATTGTTTCTCTGCCTTTATTTTTCTCTTTACCCGCAATCAGATGGAATGAGGATGAACTGGAGCTGATTAACAAATGGGCGTTTCAAGGAGAGAAATTGATCCATGGAAATCCATCTGGTGTGGACAATGCTGTGGGAACATGGGGTAACACTTATTGTATTGAAATCAGAATATTTTAGTGGGATTCTAGAAGTTATGGCAGTTATTTCACACATGTGGCAAATTTGACATGGTGATGTGCTATAGATGCCTTTAAGAATAAACTGTCCAAGTTCATGGAGAAAGAAATGCCAGGAGATGCTGATAGATGAAGTAGCAGGGGAAGAGGACTTGTATGGACCATTAGCACTACATAGTCCAAATGATCTGTTTATGTTGTAAATTTTATATCAAGTTAAAATGTAACTATGCATGAACTTTTCTCTGGAAATGACTACTAATGGAAAGAGTTGATGATTGACTGACTGTGCAACATACTGATGTTTGATGTGGAAACTGTATAATCTCAATGCTGATATTGTAAACCATGCCACTAGGTGGCAGCCTCACAGCAGCAGTTTAGATTTCTTACTCGTATGTAATCACTCCTTTCCATAGCTGGAACGCAAGTCCTGCTAGCGATATTTAATGAGAAGGGACAGAATGAATTAGAAATGTGTGTTGAATAGCTTTAAGAAATTAGCATGATAATGCATCTGAACTCACCTGGTTTGAAAGAGGAAGGATGCTAAATCTAAAAATAACGATTCAATGATATCAAACAGACTGGACACTGGAGGAGTAAGGCGAGAGTTTTGAGGCCCTGAAAGAGAGAATTCTAAGACAAGCACCCTCTTTATTTATTTAAAGATGGTGAAGAGAGCAACAAGGAAGAAGAATGTCGAATAATGTGTTGTTGTTTAGAAGGAAAACCAATGTCTAATTTCTTAAAATAGTATTGAGATAGTTGCATTGCACAATTTAGCTAAATCTATGTATTGGGGATTTACTTTAAAATGTGTTAAAGAACTGATCTACAGTCTTTTTCATTTGAAATCTATTTCAGCTATTATCTTATAATTTGACAAAGTCTTTGCTTAGAAAACAATTTTATTATTCATTGTAACAGGAGTGTACTTTGTACTATTCATCAGCTAGTTCATGCGTGTATTGATCTATGTTTCTGCTGAGTGTTTACTTAATTCTCTAATATCACGTTAGGTCTCGATGTTAACCACCTCATCACCAGCGTGATGGTTGGAATGGAGAGAATTTTAAAACTTTGCTGCAGTAGATTAAGAAATGTGTACATATTTGAGAGGTGTGACACTTGATTATTTTGTTTAAAGGAGGCTACCACAACTCTGGGAGCCTGATTTACATTTAACAGCAGGGCTTGGGGAAAGCCAGCAGTAAAATGAGGTGATGACTGCTGGATGTAGCAGTTTAGTGTTTTTATTAGAGCATTCCTTGTGGATCAGGAGGAACAAACAGTGTAATCCTACCTAGGCTTTAATCATGACCCTAACCCCTCCCTATAAATATCAGTCTGTGTAAAATTTTATTGTTAAATGTGTTGGAGCCATTTTCTGAACTGTATCCATCTATTGGAATTAACCAGAAACTTGACATCATGCTCCACTTCCAAATATTTATCTCTAATTTGGGTTTTATGTCAGCACTGCAGTGTGAACTAAAAATCTTTATGATTTCTTAGCACCGAACTTGAGTATTGCTGAGGAAAAATAGAGGCATGTTGTTGATGCTTTGCGTCCTGAAGGGTGCAGAACATAATCACAAGAAGATCAAATCTCATAGTGAATAACCGTTTATACTGTGTGAGAATAGGGTGCTGATTGATTGGCATTTAGACTGTGATTGGTAAAGGCAATGATAAGGATAATTCCATCATGGAACAGTTAACCCAAAGCTCTTAAATTAAATTCAGCAAGTCATCTGTGAATGGTTAAGACATTACTATAGGGAGTGCGCCAGAGAGTGTGTACTGGTTGCATTTAATTATTTTGATTAGCACACGTTCAATAGAATTGTCTGTGAATGCATAACTTAAATAGGATTTTTTTTTTTTCTCTTTCATGCTCCTAGAAGAAAACTCCCTGATCCAAGTATAATTCTTTGATCAGTCTCTGATTCTTTTGCAATTTGACCAAGGCATAGGGTTGCCTGATGACGATTGAGCCAAGATTCCCAGACATTTTTTTTTCTGTTCGTAACCCTATAGTCACCGATTGGATCATGTCTCAATATCAACATGAAGGAAATTGGTTACTGAGAATGAGATGTGCTCGATAATCCTGTTGATTGGGATTATCAGTTTAAGAAAATCCTGGTTCATGTAGACGTATTTATCCCAGAGATGTGAGAAACGTAGCGAAAATGTGTATATACTTTTAATGTCCGTCAGTGTTTCCAATCTTTAATTTTTTTTTACTGTTCCACTTTAGGGGGAATTCTGAGATATCACGCAGGTAAAATTGTTCCTTTATCCAGGTACCTATTTTCAGTCACTGATTCCAGTAAGGTTAGAGCTAGTTTCTAAAATGTATTACAACTTCTAACAATCCTTTTAAGTTTTGAAGTGTACTTTTCATGTGGAAAATTAACTAATCAATAATTAATATTGAATTATTATTGAATTCAACTAATATCAAATATTGACAAACAAATATTTTCATGATGTTGATTATGTTAATTTATCAAATTTCCAATGCAATAATAATTTTTAATGTATTTGAAACAAGGTACACTGACACTAGACACTATCCCAGTTTTGGCAAGAATTATTTCTGTCTGTTGCTCCAATAATTTATCCCATTTACTTTGTATAATTCTGTTTTTGTTTAAGAACAAAAAGATCTGAGGTCATGTTTTTGTGTTTTGAAAGAAAGAAAATGGCAACATTCAATTTTTTGACTTTGTTACATTTTCATATTTACGATCATCTGCACACTTGCTTTCTGAATACCAAGCAGTCCCCATTTCTCAATATGACTCTACACTTTGCTTTTAGTCTTACAGATGAGGGAGTAGGTGTCATACTCGCAAGGCTTGAATGATGCTTTGGAGCTAAAAATCAGATAATCATGGAGGGCTGGACAAGAGGGACTTTTTAAATTCACTATCACTCTTTTGATTATGGCCAATGTTGCAGCTGTAAAGACATATCAGGCAGTCATTCAGAATGTAGCAAACATCACTTGTTTGCTGCAAGCCAGGTTCGGTCATATTGTAAATACTCTGCTCCAGTTAATTGCTTTTCTGTTGTGTTTAAGTAAATAACAGAAGAGCCAGGCTACCCTATATAGAATTTGCAACCACGCCTGCTATACATGTAAATAAAGTTCTCATTCTATATTTAAGCTGTGTTATGAGAGATGAAGATTTTTTTTTTGCCAATCTTTCCTTGGATTACAGGAAACATATTGGAGAGAATGAGGAAGAGGTGCAGAATCCAAGTTGTGTTTGATCCCTGCTTTGGCACTCTTTTAACCCCGACAATGAATTATTATTTTTCTTCTTTTTATTTATCCCTGTTGACTGGTGTCTTGTCTGACAGCATATTCTTCCTTGAGAAAGAGCTCTGGCTCATTTGAGGAAATGAGCATAAAATCATAAGATAAAGGAGCAAAATTAGGCCATTCAGCCCATTGAGTCTGCTCTGCCATTCGATTGTGGCTAATATATTTCTCAACCCTATTCTTGCTGTAACCTTTGATCCCCTTACTAATTGAGACCCTATGTACTACTTTCTTAAATACGCTCAATGACTTGGCCTCCACAGCCTTCTGCGGCAGTGAGTTCCAAAAGTTCCATTCTGGCTGAAGAAATTCCTCCTCATCTCAGTTTTAAAGTGTCGTGTCTTCACTCTGAGACTGTGCTTTCAGGTTCTAGTCTCTCCTACTTATGGAAACATACATTGTGGCATGAAAGTACTTGCACTTGTTATTGTTACTTTGTGATTGCTTCAGGATTTTAATTGTTACTAAGGGATAATTTGCTAAGTACAGTTGTTATCACTGTAGTAAAGGAATTTTTGACTTTCTTGAATGTGGAGAATAATTACAGAGTCCTGACCCAATCTCCAAAAGTAAGTAAACCAAATTATAATGACATTATTTCAGGAAACAAACTCCTAAATCAACAAATACAGGAAAATAATACAGAAATATTGATACAGAAATCATTATCTCCTACTTCAGTCCTCTGGAAGATTCTTTGAGACCTTTGACTTGCACTGCAGTTTTAAAAAGCTACATCATAGAGTTTGATTACTTTCAATTAATAGCAGTGACATTTTAATCAGATTGTTATAGCTGGGGATTAATTTCATTTTAAGGAAAAGGGGAAATAAGAAGTATAGTCGTTCTGCGTTCAACTTTTAAAAATTAAACTTTTAGTTTCCAGTCCACTATAAGATGTGGATTTAAAACAAAATGTCCTGATAATTTTTTTAGAAAGTTGCAACATATTGATCTAAGCATTGAGTACCATGTGTGTGATATCAGTGCAAACCAAAACAAAAGGCCTGTACTGTTTCCAGTATACAGCTACCTGGTAAGTTTCAGCTCAGTCTTTTCATGCTACTGACTCCTTTTAAAGTGATCATCTCCTGTTGAACAAAGTGACTTATGGACAAACTATTAAATACAACACATGCATGCACACACAAATTGGTGGAAAATCTCAGCAGGTCTGGCAGCATCTTCGAAAAGAAATCAAAATCAGAGTTACCGTTTCAAGGTGAGTGACCCTTTTCCAGCAACTTCTGTTTTTGTGTCTGATTTACAGTATCCGCAGTTCTTTCGGTTTTTATTTCTGTTTTTGTGTCTGATTTACAGCATCTGCAGTTCTTTCCGTTTTTGTAAGTTATTAAATACATCTGGTTATGATGTCGTTATAAGTGGGTACAATAAATGTCATACATTCAATTATTCTATTTGGTTAACATTCTCTTTCCACTTTGTTTCAGTGTCCCCACCCTCCGGATACTTCTTACTAACACAAAGGTGCCAAGGAGTACGAAAGTGCTAGTAGCAGGAGTGAAGGATAAACTTAATAAGGTTTGGCTTTTTTAAAACTATCTCTGTGGGTAGGACTGAATTGTCTCTTGTTTTCAGATAGTGAAATTTAAAAATGTCTTCAGTACTGTTACTTTATGTATCTGGTATGATATTTTTCTTTTGCACAAGTTCGCTTAGCTCATTTGGCTGGCTGGCTACTTTGTGATGCAGTGACGACAACAATACTGGTTCAGCCCGTCTTTCAGCTGAGGTAACTATGAAGGCTACGCCTTCTCAACCTTGCCCCTTACTTGAGGTGTGGTGACCCTCGGATTAAACTGATCACCAGTCATCCTTCTCATTAGAGAGAGAGCAGCCCATCCACTGTGAACTATGGCGACCTTCACTTTCATGTTTCAATCTTGGTGGTGTCCTTGGCATTCCATCTAGATTTCTGCTGGACAAAAGGATATGAATTTTGGTTTTCTCAACCCTTTTCACATTGACAGTTTCAGAGTGCAAAATTACCTTTGCATCAGTTGGTCTCTCAAGTCACAAAATAGCAGGTGTAGGAAACAGAAAAATATCAAGAGTGCAGCAAAGGGAATTTTTCAAGTTAAGGCTGTGGAATATTATTACGACAGAACAGGACAGAGGTTAATATTCTGATGAGGGGCACATCTCACCCTTTGGAGGATCTCTGCCATCTACAGGGTCATGTCAGTGTGATTAATAGCCAACCCCTACCTAGATGAGTGTAACTGTAGTCCCTGGAAACTTAACTAGGCTGCTTAATCATACGTGTAGTTGAACAACAGTTGCTGTCCAGCCTCTCCTCCATAAACAAAACTGTGTTCTGATACTATCTGCACAATGCCCTGCAGTTAATTACCAAGCTTAATTCATTAGCAACTCCCTGCCCCATGGCTTTTATTAGCTCGAAGCAACAAAATCCTGGGAGAACAACATCTCAAAGTTCCTGTCCAAAGCTCAGACCACATCACTTCAATATGTCACTTTTCTTTCATGGTCACTGATCCAAATTCTCCGACAAACCTCGTTGTGGAAGTCCCATGAGCAGACATACTGCACAAGGTCAAAGTAAAGAGTTGTCATTTTCTAAAGCAACAAGGGATGGACAATGTAAATTGTTTCTCAGTCATTTTTTGAAGTGTCTATTATAGAATACAGGTTTCACTGGGATGGTTAGCATTTGTTGCCTTACACTAATCACCTTTGAAAAGGTGATGGTGAGCTGCTGCAGTTCTCTTTAACTCGCTGTAGCTGTTTTATGCAGTGGTGTGGCTTGTTAGGCCATCTCAGAGCCTGATTAAAAAGCCAACCAGTTTGGAGACATGTGTAGATTCAGATTAGGTGAGGTCACCTATCGGGATATTAGTGAACCAATGGATTTTTATGACAAACTGTGATTGCTTTGTGGTCGCTATTACTAAGTAATTGAATTTAAATTCCACCGATTGCTATGTTGGGATTTGAACCCAAATCCTCCAAGTATTTGCCTGGACCGCAGGATTACTAGCCCAGTGGCAGTACCAGGAAACCACTGCCTTCCGCTAAAGAACAGATTTTAAGAATATTAATGTTACTCACCTTGAGCACAGAATACATATTCGAAGTGGGGAAAAAATTGGTGACTGAACTTAAGAAAATTTTTCTTGTGTATTGAAAGTTTATGGAAGATCTGTGGTGTGCTTTGCTATCCTTCAAGCTACTTGTCATATGTGAATAACAGAGGAAAGTGAATCAACCAAATGAATTTTCTTTTTTAGCTGCCAAGCATAATAAAACCCGTCCTGGATTCAATAGATGCTATTTCATGCGAGTGTGAACGTGTTCTGGCCGCAATAGCATCTGGCAATGCCATAGATGAGCACTACACAATCCTGGAGGTGAATTTTACACCTAGGTCTTGTTACATTTTACTGCATTTGTGTTGAGTCTGGTCAAATTATAATTTTAAACAGTGCAGTTAGCTTTTGGAAGAAACAGTAGATGTCATTTGTTTTATAACTTGCATCCACTTGATACAAAATGATCAGTATACGGTGTTGGAGTAGCTTAGAATTTGACAGTACTGTATGACAGCACCTGTGCTTCTGCTGGGAATGCTTACTTTAAAGCTGTACTCTAGAGTTCGGAAGGTAAGAACTGAGAGAACAATTCTTTGTTGAAGTGTCACGGCTCCTCGGAACTGCCCTAAAAACTTTCAGTCTCTGTGTTTTCTCAACTAAATTCAATCTTTAATTATTGTGACCCAAGACAAGCTAGTGGCTTTTGATGTTTGCTCTACCTGTTTCAAACCACAAGCAGTAAACATTTATTCCAATAGTACGCCAGGACGTTGCAGTCATCTGCTTTTTGTCACAAACTGGCTCAGGTCACTGTTCCAGAAGGAATCTTTGACGTTGCCCTTTTTTTAAAGAAAACTACTTACACAAATATATACCACTGTTTGAAATTTAAACTCTTAAAAATCACACTCCTTTTATCACAACAGCTCCTGCCATGCAATTCAAGGGTTTTCAGTACTTAACAAAGTCAGTTCTCTTATGAAATGAGACTGTCAGTGAGCTGTATTACCCAGTTGACAGCTGATCTTTGTCCTCTTTCATCTTTCACATGTATTACTGGACAATTTTAGGAGTAAGCATCCCAGCTGATCTCCATCACTTACCAGACCAAAGAGGACTGTAGTGGGATCTCTTGGGCTCGATTGGTAGTGTCCCTACCCCTGGATTGAGAGACCTGGATTCCAGTCCTACTTGTTCCAGAGATGAGTAATAAAATCTCTCAACAGATTGATTAGAAAAATAAATTAAATTAAGTAAAGGACTGAGGTCAATTATGGCACCTTTGGAACTACTTGTACCGACAATCAAGATCAGCTAATTCAGCACAAAGCCAGAACTGATCTTGTTTGTCTGTGTGGCCCAGCTGCATTTTGTCTTCACCACTGAATTATCAGCAGAACTAATTGTGAGGATTGAGTAACAGGTCACCAGAAAAAATGTCATCTTACCTATTCAGTGTTAACTATTTTCTTGCCAAACTGATTTCCTGTGCTGATTTCAGGAACTTATTGACATCAACCAACACCACTTGAATGTTATTGGAGTGGGCCATTCATCACTGGACAGATTGTGTCAAGTAACTGCGACATATGGTCTGCACAGCAAACTGACCGGAGCAGGAGGCGGTGGATGTGGCTTAACACTGCTGCGACCAGGTACAATGAGTGCATGTTTGGTTGGGTAAATCATCTTCAATGATTTAATTTTTTGCCCTTTCAGCAAATTGAAACAATTGTTTGTTAGCAAATGAGTTACATGTTTGAAACATTACCACAAGTTAAGGGGGAGGTGGTGGCCTAGAGGTATTATCACTAGACCGTTAACCCAGAGACCAGAAAACATTGTGGGGACCCGATTCGAATCCCACTACAGCCAATGGTGGAATTTGAATGCAATAGATATCTGGAATTAAGAATCTAATGATGACCACAAATCCATTGTCGATTGTCAGGAAAAACCCATCTGGTTCACTAATGTCCTTTAGGGAAGGAAACTGCCATCCTTACCTGGTCTGGTCTACATGCAACTCCAGACTCTCAGCAATGTGGTTGTCTCTTAGCTGCCCTCTGGGCAATTAAGGCTGGGCAATAAATGCTGCCTAGCCAGTGATGCCCTCATTCCCATGAATGAATAAAGAAAAAAAAATGAAAAAACTTCATTTTGACTCTGCTAAAAAGATGGAAATAACCAGAAACAAAAACAAAATTGCTAAAAAGTGGGTCTTAAACCTTCTGACTAGATGGTAGAAAGGTTACAATCAATGTTCCCTCAAAGGGCGGCACGGCTCAGTGGTTAGCACTGCTGCCTCACAGCACCAGGGACCTGGGTTCGATTCCACCCTCGGGTGACTGTGTGGAGTTTGCACATTCTCCCCGTGTCTGTGCGGGTTTCCTCTGGGTGCTCCAGTTTCCTCCCACAGACCAAAGATGTGCAGGCTAGGTGGATTGGCCATGCTAAATTTCCTGTAGTGTTCAGGGATGTGTAGATTAGGTGGGTTATTTGGGATGGTTCTGGGTGGGATGCTCTGATGATCAGTGTGGACTTGTTGGGCCAAAGGGCCTGTTTCCACACTATAGGGATTCTATGATCTAAAGCTGCACAGCCACTTTACTGTTCCACACATGGCGATTGGTGTCAGTGCGCCAGTCTGTCACGGCACTGATGTCAGCCACAGATGGCCTCAAGGGACTTACAGCTGCTAAGAAAATTAGGGAGAATGCTGGTTACCACTGATACATAGCTAACACTACGCTGTGGGGTGTTGCACCAGAATTACCCTGATATTGCATTGGTCAAACATTTCACAGAATAGATCAGTAGCCTTCTGTAGCCTTGTACACCTACAAATAATCTATTTTAGCTAGTAAACACAACCACTAAAAGGTTATTTCTAGCTACAAATATTTAAGTACTTGAAATAAGGCTTGTCTAATTAGAGATTGGTATCTCTTTAATAATTTATAAATGGCAAATGTGGATTATATCCCATTCAGTAATAATGAATTTATTTAGTGTGTTGACCTGTCTCCATGTGTTTTATGCAATAGATGATATTTGGAATCATGTATTTGGCAAGGAGATATTTTCTCAGTTCCTGTTCATGCTAGTATTGGAGGTAGACCCCTTATGTTTATTTCTGAGCTTGTAGTTGAATGCATGGAAATTTGTTTTCAACTTTATAAGGTAAGGTAAATGCAATATTGGAACTTGGCCACCAGATGGCAGTGTAATGCATTTAATTGCAACACTAACCTGACCAACATTCAATCAATTTCAGAAATCACATGACAGCAGGTTATAGTCCAACAGGTAATGAGGATGTATTAAACAAACCTAAGATTGTTAAATCTTTAATCAGTTAGAAGGTTTTAATTGACTTATATGTAAATCCCCAAATTCCTTTCAAGTCACGGTCCTAAGAGAACTAAAGGTTTTATCAGTATAAAGAAGAGGTGACATTTTAGGTCAAACAAAGCACATTAGATGTGAGATTGTAAGAACTGCTGATGCTGGAGTCTGAGATAACCAGATGTAGAGCTGAATGAACACAGCAAGCCAGGCAGTATCAGAGGAGCAGGAAAACTGACGTTTCGGGTCTGGACCCTTCTTCAGAAATGGGGGCAGGGAAGGGGGGTCTGAACTAAATAGAGAGGGGGGAGAAGTGATGATAGAAGGTGGATAAAGGAGCAGGTAGGTAGAGAGAAGATGGCTAGGTCAAGAAGGCAGAGATGAAGCCAGTAAAGGTGAGTGTAGGTAGGGAGTTGGGATGGGGGTTGGTCAGTGAGGAGGGAGGGGCGGGTAGATGGGAGGGAAGATGGACGGGTCAAGGAGGCAGGGATGAGGCTAATAGGTAGGAAGTGGGCGTGGGGGTTGTTCAGTGAGGTAGGATGAGCGGATAGGTGGGAGAAAAGACAGACAGGTCAAGGAGGCGGGGACGAAATGGGCTAGTCTTGGGATGAGGTCGGGGAAGGGGAGATTTTGAAGCTTGTAAAGTCCACATTTGAGACAATTGGGCTGCAGGGTTCCTAAGCGGAATATGAGGTGCCGTTCCTCCAGCCTTTGGGTGGCATCGTTGTGGCACTGGAGGAGGCCCAAGATGGACATGTCGTTCAAGGAGTGGGAGGGGGAGTTGAAGTGGTTCGCGACTGGGAGGTGTAGTCGTTTGTCATGAGCCAAGCATAGGCACTCCACAAAGCTGTCTCCAAGCCTCCGCTTGGTTTCCCCGATGTAGAGGAGGCCGCATCGGGAACAGCAGATACAATATACCACATTAGCAGATGTGCAGGTGAACGTCTGTTTAATAATCTGTTTGTGTTTTAGTTTGGAGTCAAACTGGTTTTATTTCTAACGTAGGAATTTATAAACCCCATATTGGCTGTGTATAAATTCAGCCTGTAGATTCGTGTGTCTATGTGTGTGTGAGACTCTCTCGCGGTCTTGTGCTCTTTCACTCTCGCGCACGTGTTCTTGTGCTGTTGCTCGCGCTCTCTCTCTCTCTCTCTCTGTGGGGTGAATTTATATTTGCAGATACATTTTATAGACAGTCCATGTGGCATTTTATAAGTTCCTTCTTTAGAAATAAAACCAGTCTGACTTCAAACTAAAACACGAACCGATTCTAAACAAAGCCTCATACCTAACATGCATTGTCTGAGCTAACTGATACAGAACAAAAGGTTTTATCAGTGTAAGTCAGGACCATGACTTGAAAGGAATTTGGGGATTTACATATGCATATTAATCAATTAAAACCTTCTAACTGATTAAAGATTTAACAGCATCTTAGGTTTGTTTAATACATCCTCATCAATAGTATTAACCTTTTGATCTTTTATTTATAAATTCTTATAAATTGTTTGGTACTACCTCTCTCACTAACACCTGAAGAAAGACTGAGGCTCCAAAAGCTTGTGTTTTCGAATGAACCTGTTGGACGATTACCTGGTGTTGTGTGAGTTCTGACCTTGTCCACCACGGTCCAACACCGGCACCTCCATATCATTCTGTCAATTTGACAGAGGTGAAATTGCTGCAGGGTGAGCTGATTCATTTTATTATGCATTAGACTGTACCAGTCCCAATGCTGTTAGCTCTTTCTGATGTTCTTTTGCGTAAGTGAAAAACCCATAAAAATAGAGCAATTCCCACAGGAAGAGTAAAGCTTAATTGCCTTCAATTGATATAATCACGGACCCAAGTAGCTTCAGTTCCCTATTTAGTTCTCTTACTTTCAGGCTTCATTCCTCTTAAAGATATTATCCTGACATGTTATCAGCATCTATTATCTTTAAGTAACCATATAACTGGAGTATTTGAAAAACCTATCTAATCTGTTACCTAAACACAACTGAAATCATAAAAGTGCAGCACATTATTTGTTTTTAATGAGGGTCAGATGGTTATACTTTTGGGTTCAGTCAAGGTCCATCATAGTGGTGTTCTTACCAACGCTAGGATTAAAAATACCTCACCTATTTACTCTTTAATCAGTTCTGCTGGAGAATTGCAGATTCAATACTTTTGTCACAATTTCTACTACAAAGTAACTTACCTTGTTATTTTTGTGCTTATGCACATTTACAAAATCTGTCCCCACCCTAGTCACTTTGGCCAAGAGTTCAGTTACCACTGACATAATAAGGGGATAGGTAATTGAACCCTCATGCCAGTGTACGAGAACATCTTGGTTTAGCCTTAGTCAGGTTTGGATACGTAATGGCCTGTTGGTCAGAATTCTGTAGTTCTAGAGAATGAAAATCATTGTTTTCATTTTGGCTGCCTCCGATGCAGTTACCTCCTTCCTTTAAATAAGGAGATCAATACTGTACACTGTACTCCATCTGCAATCTACCCAGGGCCCTGTAGAACTGAGCATAACCTTTCTCATTTTGTATTGAATTCCCCTCACGAATAGCATTGTATTAGCTTTCCTAATTACTTGCTGTATCTACATGCTGGCAATTCATGCACTAAGACATGCAGATCCCTTTGCATTTCTGAGTTCTGCAGCCTGTCACAATTTGGGTAACAACATGCTTTTTTATTCTCCTGCAAAAATGGACAATTTCATATTTTCCTACATGATGCTCCATTTTCTAGATCTTTTGACTAATCGCTTAACCTACATAAAAATCGAAAGTACTGTGGATGCTATAAACCAGGAACAAAAACAGAAGTTGCTGGAAAAGCTCAGCAGGTCTGGCAGTATCTGTGAAGAAAAATCAGAGTTAACATTTCGGGGCTGGTGACCCTTCTTGTAACCTTATTTCCTCTTCGTAAATGTAGCTGAAACCTCCCTTGATGAATCATGTTGTCAGACTAACTCTATATTTCAATTTGGTTTGTGCTGTTCATTTTTGCTTTTCAGGTACAAGTCCTTCTGTGGTGGAAGCATCTAAACAGGCTTTAAAAGACTTGGGGTACGATTGCTGGGAAACAGTTATTGGTGGTTCGGGTGTGTCCCTGCATTCACCGTCATCCTGGTGTGAGGACACGTTTCGGCTTTTGTGCAACATGAAGAATTGTTGAAGAGTTTTGGACACCTAGTACTGTCATGGTAATTATTTGTATGCAGTCTTGGATTCTTCCTGGGATTTAATCACTCATCCTGTATCTGTTCTCCTCCATGCCTTCCTGCACCTGAGGAAAATGCAGTCCAGTAGAAATTTATGCTATTTACCTCTGTACATGTAATGTTGTAGAATCTTTTTCATTGTACAGGACTACTTATTTCCTAACTGAACAGCAAAGCTGATTGCTTTCTCTTTCAGAGATTTAGTATTCATCCATCCAAATGGCAGATGTTCAAAGTGCTATGGTAGACAAACAGGAGGCTGGAAGAACACAGCAAGCCAGGCAGATTCTGGAGGAAAGGAGAAGTCAGTGTTTCGGGTATTACCCTTCTTCAGGACTGCTCGGTCCTAAAGAAGGGTAATACCCGAAACGCTGACTTCCCAAAACACTGACTTCTCCTTTCCTCCAGATGCTACCTGGCTTGCTGTGTTCTTCCAGCCTCCTGTTTCTCTACCTTGAATTCCAGCATCTGCAGTTTTTTTTTTGCTCCCATTCAAAGTGCTGTACTTGACTGAAAAATGCTGCAGTGGAAAGGGGTGGCACACCAGATGTACCTTGTAGTGGCTGCTTTTTGGAATTTGAACAATAAACTGGTTATAAAGCATCTTTAAATTCTCACTTTGCACAACGTATGTTGACCCAAATCTTCCCATTTAGCATCGGGACAGATGCACTTGACACTGATCTGTGAGAAAACAGCGCATTTACGTGGTTACATTTCAAGGAGTCTGACTTCCGATGCAACATTCTGCAGACCTCGTTTATCGCAGGAATCCATGTAGAGACCTAGGAAGAGGACTGACCTGTGTCTCCTTGTTATGGCACTAGCCGCAGTGTAGTAAGTTTAAAGATCCAGTCTGAATGTCTGTGAATGGCTGGGGGTGCTAGAAAGGGGGAGATGAGTGAGAGAGTTGGTTTGAATCATTCATTGTCTCACGTCTCCAACTTTATCAGCTCGACATTCATGCATGGTCCCAAGAGCAGGCGAATTGCCCATCTGAAGTTGAAAACTCCCAGGCAATTACCACAGAGGTCTGCACGTCAGCACTTCCACAGGGTCTCAGTACACTTCTCTGTTGCATGTCCAGTCTCGGAGATTTTGACCCTAAGAGTCAAAGAGGATAACATTTTGATGTGTTATGAAAGTTTACTGGAAAAATATGACTAAAAGTTACATGTGTTAGATGTGGTGCCTTACATTGTTTATTCATTTTATTGATCAAGCAGTATCAATTTTTACATCACAAAGAAGAAATTGTAACTGGATTAGTGTGATCCCTTTTTGCCAAACCACATTTTGCACACTGAAGTGAACAGATTAACTTTCACATATTTTCAATGAGTTCCAGGGAAGAGTAATGGTGAGTATTTTAGAGTGTGTAGGAAAATTCAGCAGTACCTTTTCTATTGATCTTGCAATCCACTTCTTCCTCCCGAGGAATTCGATTATTTAGTTTTTGAGGGTGGAAGGGACTTGTCATGAGAAATTGAGATAGAATGGGGCATTGTATTCTGGCGTATCAGCAGCAAATCAAAGAAATCTTTGGACTTGACCCTACTTATTTCTTCCTTTGGGAGGTATTGCTTTGTGCTATTATTTCATGGTCACTCTCCACCTGGCCAGTCATACATGCACCTAGTCAGTGAATGGCTACTTAGACAAGTAATTTAACTATCAGTGGAGAAGGGAGAAATTTTGAGCCAAGCCTGAAATTAGTTCCTCTGCACCCTAAAAATATTGAAGCCAGGTATGAGATCTCAATTGCAATATCTTTCAAATTGGTTTGTTAACATTAATAAAGTCATCTAATCCAGATATTTGATTGTCCCTAATTTTGATTAATAAAAACTCAGTGTGTTGGAAATACAGTTCCTGATGCCTCCTATTGAAAACAATTTGTGCACCAAGTGCTGTTTCTGTTGCAGGTTGCTAGTCATATCTTTTAAGAAACTTTAGACCCCATTGTCTTCTTATTCTGTTGGCAGGAGTGTATCAGCATTTGTGAAGGATTTTGAAAGTTACAGTTGTCCAAGCTGAGATTAGCTAGCTCAATGTAAATGAGGAATTAAAACTGGAAGCTTACTTACATACAGGATATGCATTTACCAAGACACAGCCTCCTTTCTTTAACCTTGAAATTAGTGACATGACACAGAATCCTTACCATAATTGGCTGACTAAACATTTCTAACAGAGACCTTTAGAAACATTGCCCTAATTAAGTAATGAAAGAGTTTTGATGATGCATCCTATTTTTAAGGATAATCTTTATCTAAATCTGAGAGACCTGTTTCTGCAGTCAGATCCTTTTGATTTTCTGGATTTCACTGTTAATATCACTTGTAAAATCATTGCATCTAGCTTAATTCAAAAGAATGTGGCAACTAATTATTTAAAAGATCCTTAAATCTGCATCCAGAAATTTATGAGCAGTTCCAGTTGACCAGAGGTTCACAGTCAAGTTGCAGTTACATGGATTTGCCTATTTTAATTATTTTCTATAGGAAGCACTTGAACAAAGATGTTAAAGTGTAACACTTAGTCATGTCAGCAATTTCTGTATTTGTTCCAGATCTTCAGCATCTGCAGTTCTTTGTTTTAATGTGTGTAAAACAAAGTTGCTTTCAGTATATGTACTAATATTTTTTCTTGTGGGGTAAATGATGCAGTATTATTGTTACAGACACTAATGGTCCTTTGACAAGGATTTTTTGACCGATTTGACCTGTGAGATGTTATGCTTGAGCAATTGATTTAAATCTGTTTGAGGATAGTGTTAAAGAGAGAGTGGATTAGAATTCTAATATTCGAACAGGAACAACATTTTTCCTCTGGAACTATTTTCCCTAAAGAAAGATTCAATTATTTTCACTTTTCTAGTATAATTGAAAAGTGTGTATCCTCAGAAAAGAATTTGAACGAATTGAGACCATTCTGAGCATTCGACAAAATATGTACATCTGTTCAATTCAGATCATGGCATCTGAAAACCCCAAATTGTTTGCAACTTGAATTGACTGGTTTAAACTGAGTTTAGTATTTAGCAACTTAATGTCCAGGGGAAAGTTTCTGTAGCCATTCTCTTTGTTTCTCTACAAAGATTCATCAAGCAAAATTCCAAAATGTCTTTCTATGCAATTGACAAGCTGCATTCCTAAGCGACTTTCTTATTTCCAGTAAATCCGCCTGTGAGATCACTTTGTCCTGCATAATATTCTATCAGGCTTGTCATATGCTTCTCCTAAGAACGCTCATTATCATTCCTTACAATATATTTAACCAATTTATTTAATGTAACGAACCGGTGTATTCAGTATTCCTGAAAACGACATTTTATTATAATTGAATAGCATATCACATTTTCTTAACATGAGTTTTTAAAAGTTTCTTTACTGCTCTGATTGTATATGTTGAGCACCACTGAAAACGTTACAATAATTCATATTTTACAGAATGCAGCAGCCTGCTATTAAGTCACATCCCTAAGCAGTGATGTCATTATGGTATCTCAGTCATGGTGTCTTTAAAATCCTTGACTTCAGATCTGTCAGTGATTTTCTTTCACTCTTTTCTGTCCCCTGTAGAAAGCTTTGACTCCTTGCTGAAGTAGAGTTCACTTGGATGTTGGTTGCCTGCCATTATTTCCACTATTTTCCATGTGTGAGCTGAGACTGTGAATGTAGGCAGAGAGAAATGCTCATACAGAATATCACAGCCAAGCTGGATCCTGTTCTCACTCTCAATCCACACACGTGCGTTTCCTGACAGTAAGTCAAAGGATTTCTGCTCCTGATCATTACCTAAAATGTCATTTTAAATTCTTTCTGTCTGAACCAAAGACACTGAGAGCTCTAAACTGATGCCAAAGCTGATATCAACAGATGCCACTTAGTTCAGCAAATGAAGGTGGGATTTTTATGGTTTTTCTTTAACTGATTATCTTGAAGATGTGGATGAGTGAAAATGATTAAACAAAAAATTGTTGGCCACCAGAGGGTAGTAAAAACTTTCTTTTCTGAAGGATGCCTATTTTAAGCAAATAGGAAAACTTCCCTGGGATACAATGGAATTAAGGTTGCGGGGGAGGGGGGTTGAAGAGGGGAGGTGGGGAAGTTGGTGGATAGCCATGTTCACATAAGAGGGCCTGACACAGTGTGTACATATGTGTATATGAGTAATAGAAAACTATTATTTTCATGAGGAGTTTAATTTCACTGATTTAATGGTTTACAAACCCGTGAAAATTATAGTGTAATGGAAGTGAATGCAGGCCATTAATAATGTACTTTATAACATTCAAGGAAATTAAAATAGAATAAAAAGTTCAGGAATTCTTCAACTGCAAGGTTTTACGGTGTACCTAATATCTGATTACATTTTTACATGAATATATAGCTACAGCCCAGTTTATAATCCTCTTCCCTAATGGTTTAAGTTTGCAGCAGTAATGCACTTACTGATTATTCAAGGCCATTTAATCCATCGCTGCTTCTCTATGATGAATCCTAAGTTTGCTGTTTTATCATACATCTGTCCTTTCTTATTTTGCCCTGATGATAAAATCACAATTGAAAATTCGGTAGGGAAATGGTTGAGAGGGCATATTGGATAGTTTTCTTTTACTAGAGCAAGCATTGAATAGAAGACCATGGATGCTGTGATGAAAGTATATAAAATGCTGGTTTGGCCATGACTGAAGTACTGCATGCAGTTCTTATCACAATATTACAGGACGGATATGATTACATTAGAATCCTACAGCATAGAAACAGAACCTTCAGTCCAACTCGTACATGCCGATCAAGTTCCCCGAACTAAACTAGTCCTGTTTGCCTGCATTTGGTCCATATTCCTTTAAATCTTTCCTATTCACATATTAATTCAAATGTCTTTTAAATGTTGCCACTGGTACCTGCATCTACCACTTCACACACGAACCATCCTCTCTATATGAAAAAGTTGCCCCTCAGATACCTTTTAAGTCTTTCTCCTTTCACCTTAAAATTATGCCCACCCTAAGAAAACACCTTTGCTATTCACTTTAGCCATGCCTCTCATGATTTTATTAATCTCAATAAGGTCACCCCGCAACCTTCTATGCTCCAGTGAAAAAAGTCCCAGCTTATCCAGCCTGTCCTTGTAACTCAAACCCTCCATTCCCAGTAACATCCTTTTAAGTCTTTTCTGTATCCCCTCCAATTTAATAATATCCTTCCTATAGCAGGGCGACTAAAGGGGTAAAGAGGAGATTTACCAGGATGCTGCAGGTTTAAGTTTTGAGGGAAGATTGGATAGATTGGGTTTGTTTTCATTGGAGTGGTGAAGGTCAAGAGGGGACCTAGGAAGGGACCTTTTTAATCAATAGAGATGTCAATAACCAGGCCATAAATCTAAGGTAAAAGGGGAGCTGAGAATTTTTTTTTCCCCCCAGTAGCTGGTGAGTCTGCAGCTCACTTCCTAAAAAGTTGATAGAATTGGAAACATTCATGACATTTAAACAGAATTTGCACATTTACTTGTGTTGCCATAACCTCCAGGGCTATGAGCCTAAAGCTGGAAATGAGAGTAACATAGGCACAATGGGCCAAATGGCATCATTCAGAGTTGGAAATGGCTATGACATTATGAAATCAAATGAAAAGTTTAAAGCAAAAAAGGCGCAAAGTAGTCGGCAGGCAAAGTAGATGAGTTTGTACCAATTGAACAATGTCTCATGATATGGGAATGAGAGTTATGGTGAGAAGGGATTATGTTTGAAGATTACAGCTATTGAAAAGCTGCAAGGCTTTTCAACTCAATGAGTTCAGGAAGCACCTTTTTAATACAGAGAATCATGCAATGTTCTCCCACAAAAAGAATCTGACCTGAAATCACTTGAAAATTTCAAAACTGAGACAAACATATTATAGTGATATTAAAAGTTTAGAAATTGAGGTAGGTAGGCAAGTCAAAATACAAATCATACATGATCTAGTTGAGTCGTGAAGCAGATTTTGTGGACTGAATAGTTTACTCTGGTTCCTACAATGATCTTTTCTGCTTCTGAATCTGTACTAGCTAGGGAGAATTACAAGTAGAGAAAGAATGAAGGGTTGATTGGGTGTTAGAGAGAATGAGAGAGACAGACAAGGAGATAAAGTACAAGGACAGGGAGAGACAGATTGAAAGTCTGGCTCTTGTCCAGTTTATTCAACTGTGCTCCATTTCCTGACATTTTATTATACATGAAGCAGCAGCTTTACATTGATTAGACTTTGTGATACCAAGGCTCTCATCAAAATAAAATACCATCCCTCATCAAATATTTTTTATGTCAGAAAATTATCAGAAAGTAATGATTTTCTACTGGCCTCAATTCGACCTTTTACAGCGAATCTTTCAATTTATTGTGGTAAAAGAAATAATTATTAGATACTACAGCATACGTGACAACATGTAATTAAATCCAATCAAATGCACTTTTTGTATCATTACACAGCTGGGTGCATATAATGTAGCTCAGTCTGCTTGTTACTTTGACATTTATTGGAGTCAGTTACAGGAATGCTGTATATGCTGCAAATGCAGTTTATGCTGGTTATCTCTTCTGCATTTTGAAATTACTTTGGAACTTAAATGAGAGAACATTTTCCTTTTTATCCTCTTTAAATCTTTTCTCTTCTGAAGGTACCTATGGTCACTAAACAAGATGGGTTCAAATTAAACCAACTGCGGATGCTGGAGAATGGAAACGGAAACAGAAATTGCTGACGAAACTCGGCAGGTCTGTGGGTGGGGAGAAGGCAGAGTTAATGTCTCTAGTCTAGTGACTCTTCATCAGAACCGATAATGGAGAGGAAAATGTATGATGAAAAAGTGGAGTGGGTTGGGGTGGAGGTGGGTGAAAGTGAGCAGATAGAAAGAGATGAAGCCCTGAGAGAGAAGTATATGAAAGGGGTGGGCAAACGAGGGGGGTTGTTGAAAGTAGGTCAGAACCAGGATAGAGGGGAGGGCTCTGAGGAAGGAGCACTTGACCCGAAACGTTAACTCTGATTTCTGTCCACCGATGTTGCCAGACCTGCTGAGATTTTTCAGCAATTTCTGTTTTTGTGCCAGGATAGAGGGGAATCTGAACAAGTGATAATGAGAACTGAGAGTAGGAGGGAATGGCAGGCTGTGCTGAAAACAAGCCACGTAATGTGATAATAGGCCTGAGAGTGGGTTAAAATGGGTTGGCTGTGATTAAAGCAACCCAAGTTATGACAGGACTGTGTGTTGGTGGGTAAAGAGCATGGAAAGATGGAATCAGGCTCTAAAGTTATTGAAATTGGTGTGGAGTTTTAGAGACTGCAGCGTCCTCGAGCAGAAAATGAGTGCTGTTCTTCGAGCTTACACTGAGGCCCACTGAAACACTGCAGCAGGCCTGTGACAGATGTGTTGTGTTGAAGTGGTAGGCAATAATCCCCTCATTCCCCTACTGCTTTCATATTTCTATCTCTCCCTCTGGGCTCCGTCTCCATCTCTCCCCTCACCACCTCCCAACCTTGTCTTCAGCATAAATATACCACCTTTTCCTCACTGCTATCAGTTCTGATGAAGAGTCACTGGACCTGAACCATTAACTGTGCTTTCTTCCCATGGATACTGCCAGGCCTGCTGAGTTTTGCCAGCAATTTGTTTTTGTTTGGGTTCAGATTAAGTTGTCTTTCAGTCCATTTGATCTTATACTCCTGGAATACTAGCCCTATTGTATCTTGAATTCGCTGTTTTTTCAAATGCTCCACTTGCTGTTCAATATCATTGCTACTCTACATGTCAGTCTCAAAGGATGCTAAAGGGCTATTTAATAGCTTGAGGGAAGAGAAGGATGTCACATCCCAACTCAATTATGTCTCCATCTGATGTGTTCACTTCCATGGGCTGTGATCACATTATAGTGATCATAAACAATCAGGCTGATTTTTATTCTCACTGCCCTGACATAAGTGCACAAAATACTAATGCAACATCCTCCCTGTAATAAAAAGTGTAACCTGGGATCTTCCAACAGAGATGATACTTCTAAAATAACAAAATGCATGTTATTAATTTTTTAATTCATTTGTGGAATGTGGACATGCTAGACCAGCATTTATTACCAACTCTAACAGCCCTTGAATCAAGTGGCTTGTTAGGCCAAATCAGGGGGCAGTTAAGAGTCGACCATGTGTAGAGCAGCAGATTTTCTTCCTTTAAAGGACATTAGTGAATCGGATGGTTTAACAGTTACATTATTACCATTAGACGCGTTTTTTTTTTAATTTCAGATTTTAATTGAATTCAAATTTCACCGTGTGCCATAGTGAAATTTGAACCCCTGTCCCCAGAAAATTGAAGTTTTCATCAAGAAAAAGAAGGAAGCATATGTCGGGTATAGACAGTAGGGATCAAGTAAACCCCTAGAAGAGTACAACAGCAGTAGGAGTATACTTAATGCGGAAATCAGGGGGGCAAAAGGGGATGTGAAATAGCTTTGGCAAAAAGGATTAAGGAAAATCCAAAGGGATTCTGCAATACATTAAGGACAAAAGGGTAACTAGGAAGAGAATAGAGCCCCTAAAGATCAGCAAGGCCATCTATGTGTGGAACTGCAGGAGTTGGGGGAGATAGTAAACGAGTACTTTGCATCAGTGTTTACTGTACAGAAGGATACGGAAGGTAGGAATCATGTGGAAATAAATAGTGACATATTGAAAAATGTCCATATTGAAGAGGAAGAGGTGCTGAACATCTTAAAATACATAAAGGTGGATAAATCCCTGGGACCTGATCAGGCCTACACTAGAACTCTGTGGGAAGCTAGAGAAGTGATTGTTGGGTCCCTTGCTGAGATATTTGTATCATTGATAGCCACAGGTGAGGTGCCAGAAGACTGGAGGCTGCTAATGTTGTGCCACTATTTAAGAAAGTTGGTAAGAAAAAGCCAGAGGACTACAGACTGGTGAGCCTGACATTGGTGGTAGGGGTAAGTTGTTGGAGGGAATCATGAGGGACAGGATTTACTTGTATTTGAAAAGGCAGGGACTGCTTAGGGATAGTCAGCATGGCTGTGTGGGTGGGAAATCGTGTCTTGCTAACTTGATTGAGTTTTTTGACGTTTGAAATAACGAAGAGGATTTCAATGAGGGCAGAGCGGTGGATGTGATCTACACGGACTTCAGTAAAGTGTTCGACAAGGTTCCTCATGGTAGACTAATTAGCATGGTTAGATCACAGAATACAGGGAGAACAAGCTATTTGGATACAGAAGGTAGAAGATAAAGGGCGGTGGTGGATGGTTGCTTTTCAGACTGGAGGCCTGTGACCAGCTGTGTTCCACAAGGTTCGGTGCTGGGTCCACTGCTTTTTGTCATTTACAAAAAGGATTTGGATGTGAATATTGGAGGCATGGTTAGTAAGTTTGCAGATGACACCAAAGTTGGAGGTGTGGTGGACAGTGAAGAAGGTCACCTCAGCGTACATCTGGATCTTGATCAGATAGCCCAATGGCCCAAGGATTGGCAGGTGGAATTTAATTTAGACAAATGTGAGGTGCTGCAGTTTGGAAAGACAAATCAGGGCAAGACTTAGACACTTAATGATAAGGTCCTGGGGAGTGTTGCTGAACAAAGTGACTTTGGAGTGCAGGTTCATAGTTCCTTGAAAGTGGAGTCAGAGGTAGACAGGATAGTGAAGAAGGCGTTTAGTATGCTTGCCTTTATTAGTGAGTGCATTTGAGTTTAGGAGTAAGGAGGAATTATTAATATAGTGACATTACCACCACAATGTTTGCATGTTGAGTCAAGGACACGTGACTGTAGTACAAGTCATTACTACTGCAACTCTTTAACAAGGAGGTCAACATTTGCATTAAGAGTTCTGGTGATACACCTCATATCTTTCTTGAGCAGTGCAATCAACAGGCGTGAATACTTGACAGCAATGAAATGGAAATGTGCGTGGGGGAGTGCGGGTTTGGGTAAAGGATTGAATTCAAACTAAATCTATGTTCCTTACTCTGCCCTTGCAAGATGAAACAAGCTGTCAGCACTTACTGTTCAGTTTCACAGCTGAAGATTGAATAGTCAGGTGATATTCTAAAGGATATCTGGCACAGCACATTTTTTTTTCTTTTGAAGAAGTCCTGTTGAAGGTTAATTTTTGATTTTCAGGAACTATATTTTAATTCCTATATTAAGTGATGTAGTCACATTGTAACATTTACTTTCTGTATTTGTGTTGATACATAGGGTATTTGGACTCCCAGCAGCTGAATTAGAGTTTATCAAAATCCTCAATAATTATCAACCATCAATTGTATTTAAAGTCCCTACACAGAAGCAAGTTATTCATTTTCTGGACACCACTGTACTTAAATTGACACAGATCAATTTAATGGACACATACTTCTACACTCAAACACCCATTACCCTAAACACAAATTCCAGATTACTGAAGTGAAATTGATGTGTTTCCATTGCATATCCATAAAGCTGGAAGATCTCAAGCAGCTATTTACCATATTTTTACAATATCACTGATCTCAAGATCAGATTTAATTTTAACAATTGACACTGTTCATCTGCTGCAATTTTCCCCTTTAATGGCTCCTGAACATATAAGGCCTTAAGCTAGATATTTCACATTTATTTGTGAACAATTACTTCAGTGATTTCATTTGTTTCTAGCTTCTAGTCAGCTGAGACTTCCTTGTCGATAAATTTGAAACTCTCTACGGTTGTCCTCACTTTTCCAAACTCCTTCTAGCGTCTTTCACTGTCCTAAATCCCTTGATGCCCCCTGTCTACCCCCACTCCTTGCAGCTTCCCTCTCTCTCCCTAACCCCTTTGCATTCCCGTATGCTGCCTCACCTTCTTGTAGCCCACTCTCTTCTCCATCCCCTTGGAGCCTTACTGTCTCTCTCGCAGGCCCCCTGTCTCCATTCCCCCCAACCTCTTCCAGTGTCCCTCTTCCCACATGGCCCTGTCCACATCTACTGAAACCAGGTAGGTACATGGCTGCATCAACAAAACAACCAGCATCCAACTTCAGCCCCTCTTTCCCCAAGATCACCCTCGTGGCCAGTGCTTACCTACAAGGAAAAAAACTGTGGATGCTGTAAATCAGAAACAAAAACAGAAGTTGCTGGAAAAGCTCAGCAGACCTGGCTACATCTGTGAAGAAAAATCAGAGTTAACATTTCGGGTCCGGTGATCCTTCCTCAGAACAGTTCAGTAGGTTCGCTGGACCCGAAATGTTAACTCTGATTTTTATCACAGATGCTGCCAGCCCTGCTGAGCTTTTCCAGCAGCTTCTGTTTTTATGCTTACCTACACTGCCCTGCTTGGTGCTTCTCCAATCCCAGTCTGGTTCTTTCCCATGATTGATGCTGTCATCACTTGTGAACCTATTAGCAATAAGCACAGGGTAGAACCACCCTTCGATTGGAGGAGCAGCTCCTCACCATTTCTTTCCAGTAGGGTCAATGGTTGTGGTGGTTGATGGGGAGGAAAGGAGCTCAACCTTTCTCTGAGTGGCCACACCTCCCATGAGTGGTTCATTTGGGGACGAGTTCATTCACCATCCCCATCTATTTTGTGTGCTGATGACTAGTACCTGTAAACCTATGAGACACCAGAAGGAGCATGGGTATGCTGTTTCTTGTGGCACAGTGGTATCATCTCTACCTTGCAGCCAGGAGACCTGGGTTCAACTTCCTCCCTGTTCCAGAGGTGTGTAATAACGTCTCTGAACAGGTTGATTTAGAAAGTAGATTTTGTTTTTAAAAAAAAAACACACATGTTTAGCTAAAGAGAGAGAGAGAAAGTGAGAATAATGATCTTGGTAGTGTTGTCAACAATGAGAAGGAAGGTTGAGATGGAATGAAATAAGGACTATGTTGAGTAATGTAGAATGTTCCTGGACTGGTCATTCTGGGGTGAGTAACTCACCTCCTCTCTTCCCCCAAAGACTGTCCACCATCTACAAGGCATAGGCCATGAGTACGATGGAATGCTCTCCACTTGCCTGGATTGGTGTAGCTCCAACAACACTCAAAAAGCTCAACCCCCCACAACACAAAGCAGTTTACTTAATCAGCACTGGGTCCTCTACTTTCAACATTCACTTCCTGTACCATTGTTATCCATAAGCACGAGTCTGCACTGTCTCCATGTTGAACTGCAGCAACTCGCTCTCCTTTGCCAGCACCTTGCAAACCTGTGACTTTTATCATCAAGGGAAGCAGACACTTCGGAACACCACCATTTGCAAGTTCCCTTCCAAACCATACACAATTCTATTGTCATTCGTTCACAGTGACTGTGTCTTGGAACTCCCTAGCTAACAGCAATGTGGTTGCACTTCCACCACACACTGGTTCAAGAAGACTACTGACCACCACCTTCTCAAGGGCAAATAGGGATGGCAACAAATAACTACCTGCCTGGCAACACCTACATTCCTTGGACAAGTAACAAAAAAACAGGATTCCTGTTCAAGAAAGCAGTAAAAGCAAAACAATGAATAACTGCTGGTATTGCAAAGCACAATAGACATTTTCATGTCAGCGTGTCAATGTGAGCATTTGAAATCAGGCAGGTTTATTCTGCCAGCTATCATCTCCAGCAATACTGAACAAGTTGCTTTGTCAGGAGCAATTACAGCATCTGTTTGAGGGGAATATTAATACATTGCTTTTCAAACAGGACATTATTGATAGTATTTCTTTAAAAGGTCACAATATTGTTAAAAGTATTCATAATGTCAACTTTCAATTTTGATAATAAAACAGAAACATGTCTACTCTGGTTTTCAGAGTGCATCCTGAAAAGGAGTTGTATTCAACTTGAAATGTCTGTTTTTCTCTTCACAGATGTTGCCAGACCATGTCCAGAAACTTTTATTCTTATCTCTGAGTTCCAGTCACAGTATTTTCTTTTCAATTTCTTGTGGTATCCTGCAGACTTTTACATAAATATCGATCATGCTGTGGATTGTCTATGTTTCTGTTCTCTCCCATAACCT